GAAACAGTGTTGAATTTGATTGGCTGGAGGGAGATCGAAGGAGAGAGACAGCACTGTGAGTCAGTGTAGTAGGCACTACCAGGGAACTTGATGGATGATTAAACCCAAGGACCAATGTGGAATGCACTTACTAGGTGCTTACTGACAATGACCAGAAACTTAAAAATAAACTAATTGTTGCAAATTCAAGGAGACTGCCTCCAGGGAACATGCTAAAAAAACATTGCAAGCTGGTTTATGGAATTTTTTTTTTAAGAAGAAAGAAGAAGGGAGAGAAGGAGGCAGGGAGGAAGAGAGCTTTGGGGGGGGAATGGAGGAAGGAAAAGGGGGAAAAGCCATGACTTAAGTGCCTTTGTAATTTATCCCCTATTTATTCATAGGAGTAGCAATCATACATTATTCACAGGGCTTTCTCACATTTTATCTGTTTTACTCTTATCACAACCTTGAGGGAACCATTTTTTAAGCAAGGAAATAAGCACACAACAGTTAAATGACTTGCCCAGGTTGATCCAGCAAAATATGTCTAATCCCTCCAGTGAGCAAAGTCAAGACGGCCTGTTCTGTATGTGGAGCGAAACTCATGCCTTTTGCCTAGAGTTCCTCTGCCCTCATATCACTGCTCAAGTCACCATATGGAATGATTTAGAGAAAGTCTCTCTGAAGGCAGGAGCATGGACTTAATAACGCCCATAGGTCCCCGGCCACATGATGGTTTTCTTGTGGTTCTAAAAAAACATAGTGGGCCTCCAGGGAAACAGAGTCCCATGTGCAGGAAGTCAGGGCTGGGCTTTGCTCCTTGTCATTGATCAGTTGCATATGTTGGGAAAGGGCATAAAAGGAAAGGAACAGATGTTCGTTGATTGTCTGTCTTCCTTAGAGATCTCGATGCTCAACCAGTGGCCTCACCTGGACTATGAGAACGTCACATCAAGTCCAGTCGACAGAATTCTGAATTTAGATGTGGCTGCCTTCAGGGGCCTTACCAGATGCTCCTCATCCCATCCTCTCCTGGGCTCAAAACTCTGTTGGTATCTATACCCCTCAGTTCCCGTAGCAGACAGGGGATGCAGGCTCTTTAGGGTGTGGGGTGGCTGGAAGGGGTCTTTGGATGGATTTTTCTCTCTGTTACTCAGATCATCTCCTGGAGAAAAAAAATGCTGCCGTTTTTGTTCTACAGTCATTTAGTGTGGTGAAGAGTTTCCATAGCAACATGATTTCTGCCTCAGGTTTACATAAATTCATGCTTGCCTTGTTTGAAAAGAAAATTTGGACATTCAATCCCTACCAGAGAATGTGTAATAGGAGCAGATAATAGCTATAAGTCCTGACTTTATTATTATTTTTTAACTTTTTAGTATGGGTTCAAATGAATACAAAAATAAAGACTAGTCTAACAAAGCTTCATATGTTGTTAGCTTCAACAATTATCAATATATGGCCACCCACTGTGTTATTTTGAAACAAGTTCCAGATATCATCTCATTTCATCCACAAATACTTCAGTATGAATCTCTAAAAGGCAAGGACTCTTATTTTTAATGATTTTCACATGAATAATAAAAGATAAAAATAAAGAGCCTTGACTGGGTAGCTCAGCTGGTTGGAGCATTGTCCAGATGCTCCAGGGTTTCGGGTTCGACCCCCCATCAGGGCACATACAGGAGTCAACCAACTTATGCATGAATAAGTGGAACAACAAATCAATGTCTCTCTCTCTCCCTCTATCTCCCTGTTTCCCTTTCTCTCTCTAAAATCAATTAAAATTTTTTTAAAAAGAATAAAGATTGTGGAATACAAATTCTGCCATACCAAATTATTTAAACTATTTCTATTTTATTAATATCTCTATTCCAGATACTATATTTTGGTTTACAATATAATAGCACTAGGTAGCAAGCTAAGTTTCAAGTACTTTATATGAATTAGCTTATTTAATCATCACAAAAACCCTGTCAGGTAGATACCGATATTATCCTATTTTACAGAGGAGGAAAATGAGGCACACGTTGGTTAGTAACTGGGCACATATCAAACACTTAGAATATGTCAAACAGTGCCTCCTTTCCTGTGCTGTGCATTACCATATGCTCTTTGTTTTTAACTTTACAGAGAGGAAGGAAGAGAGGAGAGAGGAAAAAGGAGAGAGGAGAGAGAGAGAGAGAGAGAGAGAGAGAGAGAGAGAGAGAGATCAATTGGTTGCCTCCTGTGCTCGCCCCATCTGGGGATTGAAACCGCCATCTTTTGGTGTAAAGAGGATGTTCCAACCAATCCAGCCACACTCGCCAGGGGCATTTCCGTACACTCTTAAGACTTGACATTAAAATCTTATTGTGCAGAAACAGATCACTATAAGAAGCATGCTAGGTGATTAAGACTTATTCTCAAGATGACCATCTATTTTTATCCCCATAATGTATATTCTTAAACTGTTAAATATATTCTTTGAAATCCTGAGCAATATCTTTCAATGGAAATTTTGGAAGGTCTAATCCCTGAGTGTTAGTATTATCTCCCAAACACTTACTGGCTGTGTATGGAGGGAAAGCAGCTGTACCTCAGCTCCTGGGACATACTCTTGCCCCATCAAAACCTTGCCACAGTGCATTGCAATTATGTCTTCACTGGTCATTTTCCTTAGAGATGTCTTGAGGCAGGAGCCAATTTGCCATAGGTTGCTTTGGCTGTTTCATCTTTTTCTGTATCTGAGCACTGAAACTGACACATTGTAAGTACTCTGGGTTGGGGATTTCCTGCATGGGATTGAGACCCCACCGTTCTGGGGGGAGGGAGCTTTGCAGCCAAGATATCCCTCTGGCTTCTCAGCTGCTGCACCTGGGTGCCGGGGCCAGCCCTTTCCAAGTCTCCACCCTTCTTACCAGTGTCTATGAGGCTTCTACAAATCCTTGGTTATAATAATTTCAGTTCAGCTAGCTTTCATGTTGATAGCTCTATAATTTAGCTGTAAATCCAGTTTGGCTCCAGGAGAAGGCGAGTGTAGCTTCACCCACTCAACAGCCATCTTGGAATCTCTGACACTTGTCTTTAAACAAGCTCATACTTCTTTCTGTATTTTATTATAGGTGACAGTAAATTTTTGTTTTGTTTTTTGTTAATTGTTTACCCGAAGATATTTTTCCATTGGTTTTTAGGGAGAATGGAAGAGAGAGGGAAAGACAGAGAGAAACATCAATGTGAGAGAAACACATCGATTGGTTGCCTCCTGCACGTGCCCCTACCAGGGCTCCTGCCAGGGAGGAGCCTGCAACCAAGGTATGTGCCCTTGACCGGAATCAAACCCGGGATCCTTTGGTCTGCAGGCTGATGCTCTATCCACTGAACCAAACCATCAAGGGCTAGGTGGCAGTAAATATTAAAAGTATCTCATATGATGTGTGCTGCGACTATATTAATAATGATTTTTAAATGTAACTGTGAAGTCTATGTAGTTCAAGGTGTTTGTTGAGAAATAAAAATAATCCTAGCAATCACTATGTAAAATATAAAAAATCTGGTAATTTACTCTGCCCTTTCGTTTATTATCAAAATATAGGAAACAATTTTTAAATTTTTTTATTTCAGAGAGGAAGAAAGAGGGAGAGAGAGATAGAAACATCAGTGATGAGAGAGAATCATTGACCAGCTGCTTCCTGCACACCCGCTACTGGGGATCAAGCTTGCATGTGCCCCAACCTTGAATCAAACTGTGACCTCCTGATTCATGGGTCGGTGCTCAACCACTGAGTCACACTGGCTAGGCTAAAATATAGGAAACAATTTAACATCTAGCATATATGTCATCCATCACCTATTTTCTGAATTTTTGTCAAAGAATCTAAAAATGATAATTTTGATACTGAAGGGTATGTGTGTATTAGTGCAGCTCATAATTAAGGGATCTGAAATTCCAGTTACACTGACTTCTTTGCCACCATAGAGAAATTGCTTGATTTGTGGTGGCTTGCTTTAATCTGCCAAAAAATGGGATATATGAGTCTTTTTTATGGGGTTGTTGTAAAAGACAGTGAAACATAACTATAGTAAATTCTTAGGAAATATAGTCATATGTCTGTGCAGTGATTTAACATTCAACAAAAATTTATTTGATAAATATTTACTCTTTTGCCAAAGCAATAGTCATAGATGTTATTCCAGGTTCTTGAACTCTTTACTTCCTAACTCCACCCCTCTTGATTCATCTGAAGTTCTTTTTTATTTTTTATTGATTTCAGAGAGGAAGGCAGAGATAGAATCAATGATGAGAGACACTCATTGACTAGCTGCCTCCTGCACCGCCCCCCTCCCCTTACTGGGGATTGAGCCCGCAACCCGGGCATGAGCCCTCGACCGGAATCAAACCCAGGACCTTTCAGTCCCGATGCTCTATCCACTGAGCTAAACCAGCTAGGGCCATCTGAAGTTCTTTATTCAGTCAAGAAAAATACAGGAGCAACTGATAATATGTACATTGAGTGCGTAAAAAAGGTGTGGACCTGCAGAAGTCATGGTGACAGTCTCATGAGTGAGCAGGAGGGGAAGTTTGTCTGCAACACTTCCCTGGGTCCCCTGAACCCTCAAGGTGCCCTCCTGAGACCATCCCATGCTGGAAAGGCTCTGGCTCTCAATGCAGAATGGTGGCATTCCCACAAAGCAACCTGTTTCTGGCTTTTACCTCTTTGCTGAATGCGGAGCAGGCAGGGATGTTGACCAAATGTAACTTTCTCCTAAATTAAATGTGACTCCTTGACAAAAACAACATTTAAAATTGTACTTCCTTTTGCAGTGGAGTTGTAGTGCGCCAGTTTCAGAGCTCTCAGAGAAGCAGCATTTACACTGTGTTAATCAAAGCTCATGGTGCTAGAGCAAGTCATTGACACAAAGGCTGGCCTCACTTTCCAGTCTGCAGAGTTCACTCTTCATGGCTCTTTCAGAAACATTTGAAGAACTGATGGAAAGTCAACTAAACTGAGAATCAGAAAGTGTTGCCTTCATCATTACAGTCTAGGAGAAAGCATAGTGCAGGTCTCAATTTTACCTAAGAAATGACACCTAAAACTTTATATTTGTTTTTATTGATGTAAAATGATAGTCCCTGAAATAGTCCCATTCCTTCTGTTATAATTTTGTTCAATGCAGGCAGAATTCTATGGACAATAGAAAATCCTGAAATAGCTTGTTGGAAGAACCAGATTTTAAGAAGTAAATTACTGAAGAGATACCAACTTAGAACAAAAGCTGGCCCCAAGATAGTTAAGTAGACTGTCAGTACTAACTAAATTTATTGAGACTTACTATGTAGCAAGTGTTGTGCTAAGGATATTACATGGTTTATTTGATTGAATCTTCATATAACAAGAAAAGTACTAGGATGATATCCAGTATTCTAGGAGAGGAACGGAGATTTGGAGGAAAGAATTTGCCCAAGGTCATACAGTTAGCAAGTGGTAAAGCCTGGCAGGATTCAAATTCCCCTGCCTCACTCTAATGCCCATGCTCTCAATGTCAATGCCACACCATCTCTCCTAAATTATGGATTATGATCTCCCTCAACACCCACACCCACCAGGCCATTTGAGTCAGTAAGAGTGATTTCTTTGTTTATAAGTCTTAGAACTTCATATTTTTTTTTGTTATTAGTGTGCCCCAAAAAATAAGCAAAGGAGTTGGCAGAAGTGAAATGTATTTATTATAAATCATTTTCACAATTCCTAAAATCTCTTGAGAAATTTTATAAGAAAAATTTTAGCTATATAAGGGAACTAACTATAATTCTGTACATTTATAATTATAATGTGTTTAATTTAGTTATAAAGTGACTTTCTACAGAGTGAATGCTATTTTCCTATTGAGTTTTTCCACTAATGAAAATTGTTAAGTCTCTATATTTTTTCAGGAAATTATCTGACCTAAAAGGGTTAAGGTTATAGAAATTATAATGTTGGATACCCTAGGAAAACCTTGTAGCAGGCTTTCATGATGTTTCCAAATCAGATATAAACCCCTAAATTCCCATTTTTTCTATTATTATGTCTTTTCCCCTTCCTAGGCCAAAGGGATTTCTCCCAGGAGACAAGTTGGTTTCTCACAAAATTCTTGGTGCTCTCCTTTGGATTAACTATCTTACCTTCTAGAACTGGGAGTTGCATAAGACAATGACATCCATTAGCATACCTTCTGCTCCACCCCTTCCTTGGGTAGATTGCCCCTCATTAGTGTGGTCACAGGGATGGGCTTTTGGCTCATGTAAATGTTATAGCCCCTCCTACCTTCCCTCACACCTTCACAACCTTGCATCCTTCTGTAGACTGGATAGCTCCATTTGCCTGTCCCCTGGACACCTCAAACTCTGTATCTGAGATCAAATAAGACATCTTCCTCCCAAACCTGCTCTTTTACAGGATTCCCCCCTTGGTCAATAGGTCCATCATCCATCCAGTGTACCAAACAAAAACCTGGGTCTTCCTTCATTCTCTCTTCTTCTTTACTCCCCACATTCACTTCGTGGACAGGCTTTGCCTCTTCTTCCTCTAGAGCAGTGGTTCTCAACCTTCTGGCCCTTTAAATACAGTTCCTCATGTTGTGACCCAACCATAAAATTATTTTCGTTGCTACTTCATAACTGTAATGTTGCTACTGTTATGAATCGTAATGTAAATATCTGATATGCAGGATGGTCTTAGGTGACCCCTGTGAAAGGGTCGTTCAACCGCCAAAGGAGTCGCGACCCACAGGTTGAGAACCGCTGCTCTAGAACCTAATCCCTTCTCTCCATCCACAGACCATTCTCAGCTCCGCTCTCCTGATTTCTCACCTTGATCAATGCCATGATTTTTCCTCAACACATCAGGCATCTCTCTCGGAGGTTTTACTTGCCTACCTGTATCCCCCAGTCTGGGCTCAATGTCCTATGTTCACACTGCATCTTGTGTGTATCTTTATCACAATACTTATCTGTGTACCCTAATTGTGCGTTTCCTTTTGTGTCTTGCTCCAATGCACCATAAGTTTCTTGAGGGCTGGGACTGTGTCTTACCTATGAACAGCCAGCTCAGAGCAGTGCCTGGCACTTGGCGATTACTCATTAATGTTTGTTGAGTAAATGGGGGAGCCTTTGCAGTTGGGCCTGGCTTCTGTGTTCCTGGGAAATCTCGTCAGGATCGGTGTGTGATTACACAGCTTATCGACCTGGGACTTTGGGTAGGCTCACCGGGAGTTACATTTTCTTTTCGTTTGTATCTCATTTGTGATAATGAACAAGAACATGGCAAACTCAACAGCAATTACCCCAATGTTACATTATAGGCCAGAAATAACTGTTTGTTAAATTAAAATGGACAGGGCAAACAGGGCTCAAAGCTAGAGATTCAGTTTTTAGGCTCCAGGCAGTAACACATCTGTTTTCTATATTACTAAAAATGCAGCATAAAATATACTACCTGGCTACAGTAGCTATTTAAAAATTAGTAAAAACAATAACGATAATATTTATTACTAAATGCTTCCTATTCTGAGTGTTATGTACATATGTCATTTAATCCTCACAACAATATTATAAAGCTGGTATTATGATCCCCATTTTTTAAAGTGACATGCTTAAAGTAACCTGCAAGTCCGTCATGGCCAGATATGGAGCCGGCTGTCTAATTTCAAAGGCCACATTCATTAGTCACTATTGCCTGATCCAGGCACACACGACTCTGTCATGCTCTACCAGCTGAACTCTTAGCCAGTGAGTGACAGCTGCTGAAATATGATTTGTAAGCATGTAGAAAACATAGATTTTTGTTTCTGACATCCTGAGTTTCTTTTTTAAAATGGACAGAAAATATATTCTAGTTACACAGATTTTTGAATCTTCTTTGGCCATGATAAAAGAATGAGAATCATCTGCTTGCTGCTACCCACACCTTTTGAACAGTCTTCTACCCTAGTTGGATTAGTTTTTACTTGTGGATTGGGAAAGATAACATGGGCCAGAATTGTATTGGCACAAAATGGCCTGACTCTTAAAGCTATGTTACCCAACAATTTCTTCTGAAAGGCAACTCCTGAAATTACTGATAGAAGCATCCTCTGACATGACAGCTTCAATTAAATGTTGTTAGAAGGTCTCCATTTCACTGAGCAGACTTGTGGGTTTCTTTAAAAGTTTTGCATGAATGGTGAATGGTAAGGAGGAGAAATTCAGATTTAAATTTTATATTTTCTCTCTGATGTCCACTACTCTATGTTACCAATCATAAAAATGTGGTCCACTGGGCCTCATAGCATGAAACACCACAAAAATAAAGAGGAAATTAGATTATATTAAGTGATTTCTTCATCTATTTAAATGTATGTGTCTGCATCAAGTTCTGGGTTATAGTATAAGTGTTAAAAATGGTGTAAGACCTGTTTTCTTTTTCCTCATTGTGAAACACCAGTTCTAAAGTTGTTAACATCACTTACAAACACATCTTTGGGGTTATAACATGTGGCAAATTCTCAAAGACAAATCTGAAGACCTTTTTTTATATATAATTAGGAGAATCAGTGATCTATGACAGAATCCCTGAAATATACTTAAAAAAACACACAACAATTCCCCTAAGAGCTGTGCATAAAACTGTTTTTAAAATGGCTAATGGTCCCAGTAAGTGTCCCAGACTGATACATCCCCTAGTTTCCTGGTTTCTTAAGGAGCTTGCCTAGACTAGACTCCCCACAGAGAAGAAAATGTTCTAGAACAGAGAACAATTGTGTAGCTTAAATTGTGTCTGAAAGAAAATTAGTGAGGTAAATGATCAACAACTCATTAAGATAACATGAGGTTAACAGTTCTTTAACAGGCTTTGGAACTGAAAATTTTAAAATATTAAGTTGGAATAGAATGGTGTGAGGAAATTTGTAATAGTGTATGTGTGAGAAACGATACCAATTTTTCTGCAACATTTGTGTGACAATATTTCAAATATAAGATTTGATGTTTTCTATGAAAAACTGGATTATATTAGATGTATGCAATTGTCAAAACTCATAAAACTTTAACTTGAGGTCTCTGCATTTTACTACATGTAAATTATATCCCAATTTAAACAAATCTTCAAACTCTCAAGGTCATCAAAAAAAAAAAAAAAAGGAAAGTCTGAGAAACTATCACTGCCTAAGGAGACATGAGGACTGTATCTAAGAGCAGAAAAAGAAAAATTTTTTAAAATAATAAAATCCAAATAAAGTATGCAGTTTAGTAAGTAATAATGTATCAGAATTGGTCATTAGTTGTGACAAATGTACCACACTAATGTAAAATGTTAACAACAGGGGAAGCTGTGGACTGGGTATAGAAAAAACTCTCTGCCACCTTTCTAAAATCCTAAAATGATTCTAAAACTTAAAAAGCTTTTTTTAAAAAAAATAGAAACAAGCAGGATAAGGGGGTGAGTGGGAGTTAATTTGGCAGTTACAAAGACACTACTGGAAAGTCAAGAAAATGAAAATAGCAGTATAATCTATTTCAAGCAATAAGTGTAAATAAGCAATAAAGAGCAAATGTTTTTATCTACTGGACATTAGCATCAAATAGATTACTCTTCTATCAGATTTACTTTCCCATGATAAAACTGAGGACTGCCATCCTTACCACATTATTTTTTTAGTTGGCTAACATTAAAAAAAAGTTGTACACATACAATGGACGGAATGGATGGTATAGTTTTTATTTTCACATAGCATATTCCTCGTTGTAAATCATCTAGTTCCACCGTTCTGTCCTGTTAAATGCCAGCATCCAGTAGTTACACACATCCTTTCTATGGATACATAGAAAAGCTCATTTCATGCCTGCCAAAAGGCTTTCTTACCAGGTGTGAGTGTGTGGATAGAGATGTGTTAAAAAAACCTCCTGCCATACCATCTACTTCTCTGTTAAATATGCCACTGTCCTACAATCCATAGTCATATTTAAGTCCCGTGGATCCCCTGGTAAGAAGCAGGGAGTCTTCCTCATCATGTATTGGTGTCGGTGTTGACCAGCCTCAGAGCGGCTCAGATGGGCCAAGTACAAAGCAGTGCCTGATGTGGCCACATTTGGGCCCGGGTGCCAGAGGCAGGGTACCCACAGGATGTAGCCCATCCTTCCCTGTGGGGCGCAGCTCCAACGGGAATACCTTTTGCGACGACAAATCCCTCTTCAGTTAACAGTTCTGGGGCAGAGGCTGGTGGACAGGCCCAGAGCCCATGTAGACAGACGCGAAGATGATGAAGATCAAGAGTAGGAAGAGGGTGGCTGCCGCGGCGACCGCAGCGACGAGCTCCATCTGCAGCGCAAGCTCTCGCAGCCCACGCTCGCGGGTCCACGCCTGGCGCTGCGTTGCCATGGCAACTGGCCCCCGAGAAA